TCTTATTATCTTCTCCAACATCAGATTAAAGAAATCACATGAAAGGGAGTCGCCCTGTCTGAAACCCCGTTTTGTAGCGAATGGCTCGGAGAGGTCTTTCCCAATTCTAACGGAGCTGGTGGTATTGCTCAACGTCATTTTACACAGCCGTATGAGTTTTGAGGGGATGCCAAATTCAGACATCGCGGCGTATAGGCAACTCCTTTTAGTGCTGTCAAAAGCGGCTTTAAAGGCGACAAATAGGTGGTGAGTGTCGATCCTTTTCTCGCGGGTCTTTTCCAAGATTTGGCGTATTGTGAATACCTGGTCTATGGTGGATTTGCCAGGTCTAAAGGCACACTGATAAGGCCTAATCAATTCATTGACGGTGGGCTTCAGTCTTTCACACAATACGCTCGATAAGACCTTGTAACCTATGCTTAGAAGGCTAATCCCACGGTAGTTGGCGCGAATGGCGGGGTCACCTTTCTTGTGGATTGGGCAGAGCACACTTAAATCCCAGTCGTCGGGCATGCGTTCATCTGACCATATTCTGCACAAGAGTTGATGCATGCACCTTATCAACTCCACGCCGCCGTACTTCATCAGGTACTTGTAATTTCCGGCTAGCAAAGCAACAACAATTTATAAAAAGCAAATGCTTGGCTGTTGTCGCTGTGCTAACAGTTTTTCCAACCCTGATAATTTCTATAGATATTCGCACGATACAAATAATTTTTACGATTGAATTTTAAAACGATTTTTCATTTTGCTACGTTAGATCCGTTGCCGAGAAATTTATGGATACATATACATATACACAAAAATTGCTCGTTTAAGGTAATTAGAATAAGGGGCAAAATTTCCCGCAAACGCATTGTATTATGCTCCTTAATAGGGAGCATTTTCGCCTCGCCGTGCAGGTGGTATTCTGGCGACATCAGAAGGCATCCAGTCGCTGTCCTAAGTGCAGTGCTTTGTGTCGCCTGCGTCCTACTAGTCCCCGGCGACCACAGTGGTTCTGCGTAATTTAAAACCGGCCGGCCAATTGCCTTGCATGTTGTCAGTAACGTTTTATTGTCTTTGCCCCCAGTACTGCCGGCTAGCGACTTGAGGACCTTGTTGCGTCTCTGTACTTTGTTGACAATAGCGACAATAGCGGCTGCGTGTGCAGAGAAGGCCAGCAGATTGTCGAAGGTTACTCCGAGTATTTTGGGATTATTCACCATCGGAATTGGTGTATCATCGACGTGCATTCCCAGGGGTAGCCTGACCTCCTTCGCCCAGGTAGTGAACAAGGTCGCAGAGGATTTTGTAGGGGAGAGGGTTAGGCTCCTTGCAGTGAAGAAGCGAAAAAGCTCGGAGAGATACCCGTTTACTTTTGAACACAAATAATCAATTCCATTCCAAGACGATTTAGTCGAGCAATCTTCGGCGTAAGAGACAATCGAGACACCCTCTGGTGGTTGAGGGAGTTTTGAAATGTTAAAGTTAAACAGTAGTGGGGAAAGGACCCCACCCTGTGGAACCCCTTTTTTATTTTTCTGAGTTTGCTCGATATGTCTTTAAATATTACCGAAGAGTGACGACCACTATAATTCGCCGACCACTGTTTAAGCCTCTGTGGGAGAGAGGAAGCCTCTATATCTTCTAGTAGCGTGGAGTGGCTGACGGTTCAAACGCCTTCGACAGGCCCAACGCTACTAGAATTGTTCTCTCCCAAGGACGGTTGTGGTTGAGGCCACTTGTTATATGAGTGTTTGTGGCGTTAAGTGCTGTTGTTGTACTGTGCACTTTACGAAAACCATGCTGATGCTTCGCCGGGGTCAGGTGATTCGTAAAGTACGGGAGCAGTAAGGCCTCTAGTGTCTTCGCACTGGGGAAAGGAGTTTTAACGGGCGAAAAAATTCTCCTTTGTTGGCTGCGTTCCCCGGTTTGTGCAGTGGGACCACTCTCCCCACCTTCCAGATGTCCGGGATGATGAGAGTGGCCATTGACATATTGAGGACCTCCGTTAGGTACGCTACTCCCGCAGGACACAAATTTTTCAGCATCAACATTCATGTTCCATCGGAACGCATGGCTTTGGAGGCTTTCGCCAAGGGGCACAAGTTGTTGGCAGTTTGTACAGCCTTTCTGGTCACTCGACGCTTGGCTTTGTCCGCCGGAGACTGCAGTGTGAACGGCTGGCTAAAATAGCTCGCGCATCACTCCTGGTCCGACGAAGCATGGTCTCCGAAAAAAATTTCGACCCTGTCGTCGTGCTTCGTTGGATTGGACAGTGATCTCACGGTTGACAAAAGCTTACTCATACCAGAGGTGAGGTTGCAAATCTTCAGATGCTCTTCCCACTTTGTCCGCTTATGTACGTTCACCAGCTGCCAAATCTCCGCGTTGAGATCCCTGATACGGGGATTTCCGGGATCGGCCTGACGAAGGTTGTCACGTTCATTGGCTAGAAAAGCCGCTTCACCAGGGAAGTTTGGCCGGGGGTCGATGCATCCTGCCGGCACGAAGCGAGCTGCTGCTGCAGCGACAACCCTGCGGAACTTACGTTCACCAAGGTGGACGTCAGTTGGTGTGGGGAGCGTAGCGAAGATGCTCTCAGTAAATTCGTAGAAGCCATTCCAATAAGCTCTAGAAAAGTTGATTTAGATCAGGTGTTCCGCGGAAGTAAAGTTGGTTGGTTTATCGATCGAGATGACTATGGGCAGATGATCTGATGCCAAAGTCAGCATAGGTCGCCATGATTCGCTGTTTATCAGACCAGCGCTGACAATTGTTATGTCTGGCGGGCTGCAGCGGCTGCCCATAATCCTGGTGGGTGTGTTGTCGTTCATTGTGCAGAAAGTCGAATCGTCTATCTGCTCAGCCAAGTCTGTTTGGATGATTTCTCGTTTGATATTTTATAAAAAATACTCAAAAAAGGTTTTTAAATAATGATTTTTATAAAATTATGAAAAACTCGTGTTTTCTTGGTTTGACCTTAAAAAAGAAGAGAAAGAAAACGGATGTTAATGTGGTTTAATAATAATAATAGATTGGCGCTTACACATATGTTAGTGTTTGGCCGAGCTTCTCCTCCGACTTGTGGCGTACGCCTTGATATTGTCACACAAGGCGAAGGGACCTACAGTTTTACGCCGACTCCGAACCGCGATTGTATTTTTATGAGAAGCTGTTTTTCATGGCAGAAATACAATCGGAGGTTTGCCATTGCCTGCCGATGGACGACCGCTGTTAAGAAAAAACCTTTTTTCTATATTTTTGCGATGTTGCTTTGACCAGGGTTTGAACCCGGGTCCTGCGGAGTGGAAGCGCGCACTGCTTACCACTGCACCACAGCGGCCGACATGTGGTTTGCTACTATAAAATAAAAAGGTATGTAAGGGTTGCTTGTATTCAAGAAAAGTAGACTAGACTGAGCGAACCCAATTAGACTATTTAATTGTCTTTAAAAGTTACTCGCCGCCGTCTCGTCTTAGTCGAAGTGATAAGACTCTTCTGTGGCGATGATAAATTTTCATTTACAAGGTACGCTGGCTTTAATCGATCCACAGAAATGTTCTTCGGCTTCCCTTTTATTGAGATTTTGAAAAAATTCTTGGACCTGGATTAAACCTCAAACGGTCCTTCATAGGGTGTTGAAAACGATGGGCGCACCGAATCATTTCTGACAAAACATTTTTGCATATATTTTCGGAGTTCCACTACAAAGTCCGATTGTGATTTGGTTTTAGGATTCTTAGCAAGAAATTCTGGTGGTATTCGGACGGTGCTGCCAGTGCGGTGCTTGTAGACGGTCCGCAAGCCAAGGAGAATTGTCGGCAATGAGTCCGTCCAGCGTTCCGAGTCGATGCAAAGTAGCGCACATTTAAGTGTCCGGTGCCATATTTCCACGATGCCGTTAGATTATGGGTGGTAAGGCGTTGTCGTCAAATATTTAATGCCGAGTGACTTTGTTAATTCAGCGAAAAGTGTGATCTGAGGTAATTACTGTAGGCACTCCATATCTCGCAATCCAATTAGTAGTCAAAGCTTTAGCAGTAGTTGGTGCGGTCATGTCTGCCATCAGTATTGCCTCGGGTCATCTCGTGTATCGATCGATAATAGTTAAGCAGTACCGAAATCCGCAGTGGAGTGGAAATAGACCCACCACATCAGTGTTGATGTGATCAAAGCGCGAGTCACACGATTCATAGCGCTGAAGTGGAGAGAACGTGTGCCGATTAGTCTTCGCCTTTGGGCACTACAAACATGCTTTGGCGAATGCTCTACTGCCCTTTTGAATACCCGGACAAACAAATCGACTGGTCATTAATTTGGCGGTGGTGCGTCTTCCTGGATGGCATAAGTTATGCGTCGACTGAAAAACGTCTTTGCGAAATTTCGTAGTGGTAAACGGCCGAATGCTGTCCCGTAGAATATCATTTTTGTCGCGATGTGTACAACACATAGTACCAGGAATTTCTTTATTTTATCGAAAAACTGATTTAAACCATAATGTACTGTAAAAACTGGTATTTTTTAAATAAAGGTACGGCGAAACGGAACTTTCCGCAGCAATATACAGTTTTAGTATTCACTGATCCTCTTCCATCATATAATACTCTATTGCATTTTTTTTGTGTTCTTAAAACTTTGGAATGTTCCGAGAAGAAAACTTCGACTACGAGAATAAAAGATACCAATTGGTTGCATTAATATTTGAAATGTATATAATCTTGTTTAATTTTGTTAATCGTCTGTAAAAATTTACTGCTCATATTATTATTTTTATATAAATAAATGTAAGGTTTTTGTCATTGTCCCAATATGCCTAACCCGGACAACGTCTGGTATTCTGTTAGTATATTTATAAGTACATTTACATACATGCATTGGGTTTAAGTATAATATAAGTACTAACTACATACGCTGTAGATGTGACAATTTTTACTTCTGGCGAAATTACAAAAGTACTTGAAAAAAAACAAAATGAAATACTAAATATTTACATAATTTTTGTGTACATACATAGGTGCGATTTTTACGGAAGACCAACGAGACAGCAGCGTTGAATACTCATTTAAATACGCGGTGTATCGCATTAACAAAGACAAGATGCTATTGTCAAACACACAGCTAATTTATGATATTGAGTACGTGCCACGTGATGATTCCTTCCGTACAACAAAAAAGATATGTCGCCAGTTGGAGTCTGGAGTTCAAGTCATTTTTGGTCCAACGGATCCCTTGCTTGCTGCCCATGTGCAATCCATTTGTCAATCATTCGATGTGCCACATATCGAGACTCGCATAGACTTTGACACAAATTTCAAAGAGTTCTCGATAAATCTTTACCCATCTAAGCGGCTTTTGAGTTTGGCACACCGTGATTTGATGATTTTTTTGAACTGGACAAAAACTGCCATTATCTATGAGGATGATTATGGTGTGTATGTAAACGCTAGTCGCATATTCCACTATTATTTTGTGTATTTTATTTCATTTAAGGCCTCTTTAATCAACAAGATCTGATGCGTTCGACGCCAGATTTCCGCACCGAAATGTATATACGCCAAGCATCGCCTGCAAATTATCGGCAAGTTCTGCGCGCCGTTCGTCAAAAGGAAATTTATAAGATTATTGTAGATACTAACCCGACAAATATAAATAGATTTTTCCGAGCGGTAAGAAATTAGTAGTTCCTACTGAAGATTATAGTATTTTATTATGTTTGTTGTTAAATAATTTTAGATTCTTCAGCTCCAGATGAATGATCATCGCTATCACTACATGTTTACCACATTTGTAAGTCAATTTGTTTCTATATTACAATATTTTAAAAAGTCTATAAGGGGAGGGGGGGGTTTGTGCTTGTGGTTGAGTGGTGCGTCCTACCACTCCGCCACACCTTAGTTCGATCCCTGGTGTAGGCAACATCTAAATCAGAAAGTTTTTTCTAACAGCATAATGGGACCACTTAATAGAAGGCGATGCTCAAAACTAATTTTTCAAAAAATGGTATTTACGATAAAAAAATATCTACCAGCAGAGCCACAACACAGTGCCGAATCCGTCCATAAACATTGGATTCCCGAACGCTACTAGTTTCCGCGTACAACAGCTCAATGTTTACTTTACAGTCAGAAATTTTTTTTCCAATATCGAAAGCGAGTTCATGGTTGCTATTAAAGCATTTTTTATAATGCTTAAGGTTACTATAAGTCAAAGCTTGCTTAATTTTAATCCTTAAATTATATACGATTACGATTACTTTAATTGTAATCATATAGTTACCATTACGATTATAATAATTGTAATCTTAAATACTTAATTACTAAGATTACTGTAATAGTAACCATGAAATACATGATTACGAATACCGAAATTGTAATCCTAAAAATTTTAAGATTACAATTACAGTAATTGTTATCATGAAAACTACGATTACGAATACATACTTTAATTGTAATCCTAAAAATATCATGATTACAATTAATGTAATCGTAATCAATAAAATGTTGATTACGACTTTCTGATATTCTGTAAAAGTTTAGTAGTTAAGTAAATGAGCGGAACTTTTTTCTACTTCACCGAAAAGTATGTAAAATTGATTTAGAGTTGAAGTAATACAGTTACACAGCGGCTGCTGTGGTGTAGTGGTTAGCAGTGCGCGCTATCATTCCGCAGGGCCTGTATTCAAGCGCTGTTCAACTGAACATCAAAACATGAAAAACAAACAACTTTTTTCTAATTGCGGTCGCCCCTCGGCAGGCAATGGCCAACCACCGAGTGTATTTCTGATGCGAAAAACAGCTTCTCATAAAAATACAATCGCCTTTCGGGTCGGCGTAAAACTGTAGGCCCCTCCCCTTTGTGTGACAATATCAAGGCGGACAGTTAATCAAAATCAAACTTTATTGGAAATACTGCGACCACGAGTCTGTGGAGTAAACTAATTTTTTTCATGGCGAATTTTTTGATTCACCTTTTTCTCAATAGACACAAGGCTATTTTTCTGAATTTTTCCTATTTATAACCGTAAGGCCTTATATCGACCTATCTCGGCAGCCAGCTCGACAACGCTCTATCTCAAAAAAAACTTTTCAAGAACGCGCTAATTCAGGATTCGTTTCAAAAACTCCCTACCTCAGCTTTCGATTCAAAAACGCTCTATACTAGCATATTTTCAATACATTTTCAAGTGCGATAGGGCGTTCTTCATCCTAATTCTGAGATAGAGATTTTTCTAATAAAATTCTGAATTATGGCGTTCTTGAAAAGTTTTTTGACACGGCGTTTTCGAATCGGCTGCCGAAATAGGTCGATGTTCGACTCAGCAGTCGATATATTATGGAAATTTCCTTTCTTCCACGGTGTGTGTTTGATGTTATACTCAACCCTGTAAATGGGCCTTTTTGTCCTTGTCTAGCTCGCGCAATTCAAAATATTGTCATTTTGAGCAACTATCTGATGAGTGCAACCATCTACCCTGACGAAGCTTCAGAGGGCAGAGAAAGTGCCCTTTTTGCCTAAGAGTGTGACATTTTAAGAAACGAACACAAAATTTGTTCACCATTTGCCTTTATTGTAGAATCGAACACGAAAAGAGAAAGGGGCTATTAAAAGGCGACATTTTTTGGCAGAAACGAAAATACCATTAGTAAGCTTAAAATATTTACACAAGCTTTACGCATTTTTGAGAAAAATATGTTTTAATAAGAACTTATTAATTTTGATTAGCCACTGTCATCCACTATTTTATCAAAAATATGTACCGCGTGGAAGTGTTTTAAGAAAAATCCCATCTAATTGGAAGGGAATAGTAAATACCGTCTGTACATATTCCCTATTTCAATACTGGTATCTTTTATTCCAGACGGAGGGCATTTATCCGTTAAAAATCGGAATTTGTGTAGAGTATTATTTAAAAGCCCTTCTAAATTACTGCAAAGCAAGTTCAGCGATGTGGAAGAATATATTTCAAACCAAACCAGCTGCATAAATCTTTAGGCGATTTCAAAAGTTGCGTCACTTTCATCTGGAACAGCTGCGGTAGATCCACTGGATTTAAAAGAGATAACATAAAATTCCAGATGCTATGTCTTGATACTGCGGAATTGTGTGCCTCCTTTATCCCTGGCAACAAATTACAGCGCACAAAATTTTAATGGATGGTGCCGAAATTTTATGGAATTTCCTTCCACCGATTGGACAATTAAGTGAAAGGCCCAGGAATCGCGAAATAAAGATTTTAAAGCATATCGTAAACGTTTTAGCCGAAAAACTTTAGGAAAAGCTAAACCTGAAGATGTATTTCACCATCCACTGGTTTCTTCCGATCCTCTTAGGCTAAGACCCCATTATCGGCGCAATGGGCCGATTTTCTGCGCATTTGATGTACTGATAGCGTAACACAATTTTTCGAAATTCAGCAATCTGAGCCGAAATTGTGCTAACTATTTATAAGCAACCAAAATTAATATTGCTGTACCCATAATGTGAACAGTCTTTACTTCATTCTAGAACAATCAAATTGTAAACAAGTAAGAGCAGCGCTGTCTTCGGCTATGCCGAAGGCTTCATACCTTTCATGAACATCTGCAAATTTTAGTTTGACAGATTACTGATTTTGAATACATCTGCATACATCGATAGAGGAGTTACATACTTATATGAAAAATCGCCTCTAAACAATCAGAGGTATGGAGGATATACTTTATATGGCACCAATCTAAGTGATTTTCACTGCTATGTGATCGGTACGTAAACCGGTAACACAATTTATTGGGTTTAGTTTCCTACATAAAGGAGATATATCGCAAACCTATTAAGCTGGCATTTCAGGGTACTATTTTATATATATATAAGGAAAATTTGAAAGTTAGGAGGGGGGGCTCGAGCACCCCCCTGCCCCTACCTGGCTACGCCCATGGGTATCTGAACAATCAGTGCTATAGTAGATAAAGCTTATACAGCATAGATTTTGACGATTTTCTCAGTAGACTTTGTATTATTATTTATAAAATATCTTACGAATTTTATCGGTTTTAGCTGTTCAAATAAAGGAGTTTCACAGTAAAATCCCATATCTGAACAATCAGATGTATGGAAGATATATGTTGTAGTCACCCGATCCTTGTTATTTTCACTGTAAGTGTTCTGTTAATAATGAGTGAAAATGGTGCGAAATTTCATGTTCCTAGCTGCATAAATGGAGGAGTTATGATAAAAGACCTTATATCTGAACAATCAGTTGTATGGGGGCTGCAGGTTATAGTGACCCGATCTTCGTTATTTTCACTGTAAGTCTTCTGCTGATAATGAGTGAAAGCAGCGCGAAATTTCATGGTCCTAGCTACTTAAATGGATGAATTATAAGGAAAAATCTCATATCTGAACAATCAGTTGTATAGGAGCTATAGGTTATAGTTATCCGATCTTTTTAATTTTCACTGTAAGTTTTCTGTTTATAATTATTGAAAACAGTGCGGAATTTCCTGTTCCCAGCTATATAAATGGAGGAGTTATAACGAAAAATTTTATATCTGAGCAATCAGTTGTATGGGAGCTATAGGTTATAGTGACCCGATCTTTGTAGTTTTCACTGTAAGCATTCTGTTGATAATGGGTGAAAGTGCTGCGAAATTTCATGTTCTTAGCTGCATAAATGGAGAAGTTATAACGAAAAATCTCATATCTGAACAATCAGTTGTATGGGAGCTATATGTTATAGTGGTCCGATTCTTCCGGTTCCGACAAATGATTAATACATTATAAAAATACACCCACCTGCCAAATTTGATCCGGATATCTCGAAAACTGAGAGACTAGATTGCATACAAACAGACAGACAGACGGACAGACGGACAGACGGACATGGATAAATCAACTCAGCTCGACGTTCTGATCATATAAGTATACATTTTGATGGGTCTATCTCTTTTTGTTCTGGTACTTACAAACATCGGACCAAAGTTATAATACCATTTCATGCTCATGAAAGGTATAAAAATGTCGTGATTTTTATCGGGCGCTCATGTCCCGATCAAAGCCGAACATTTGTTTATTGCTATTATTAAACTAGCACGATATTGTGATCATGTTGTACCGAATATCGCCGCATATTTCATTTGGTCGATATGCACCTAAGGAAATTGTCACAATATGCGTAGGGATGCAAACAATGCATCGATGTTTCTGAAACATCGATAACATCGGCTAAAAAACCGATGTTTACCATCGATCGTAAAATTGGCGATATATCGATGTCAATTTTAACGATGTTTTAAACATCGACTTTAGTTTCGGTTCAAAATTGCCATTGCGTTCACATCTTTATGTTATATTCTTTGGGCTCTGTCACACGGTCAGTATTTATTGACGTAATCCAAGTATCGCGATATTTATTGACGGTGTACTATGCAGTATTGATGGGTCGTGATCCATATCGCAAAATATCTAAAAATTTTGCGATATGGATCGCGGATCGCAATACCGTCAATAAATATTGAACGTGTAGCACTTTCAAAACGCGATCCATATATTTCTTCAGTACATCTTTTACTCTCATAATGTAAACATCGGCTCTGCCTTCACTCTCGGGGCTTAAAATCTTTCAAAACAAATTGAACAAATCTTAAAATAATTGTGGAATGCATTATCTGTAAATTATACGTACAAAATAAAGATATTTTCTTGCGTCATAATAAGCGTTCAGCAAAAAAAAAAAATGCAAATACTGACGCGATAAATATTGAACATGTAGCATTCGTGCGCGATCCATCAATCCATCAATATGGATCGCGATCCAAATATCGTGATAATTACTGACCGTGGGACAGAGCCCTTTGAGTAAGCGTGTTACGGGTGATGGCAGCCATGTACTTAATAAAAGCAATTAGCAACGTTGAACATAGGCGATTTCCATGACGTAGTTACAGTATTTCAATACGACTTAAGGTGAGTGTAAGTATTATCTGCGCGTAAACAGCAAATCTATTATGGCATTGGAAGGAAATGTAATTAAATTCAAAAAACCTCCCATTGAAATGTTAACAATGTAGCAGTTTAGATGAACACTGGGTTTTTCTTGTAATTTTAACAAGCATTAAGTCAGTTCCAGGTATTTCAGGATTTGCAGGTTTTACAAGTAAAGCGGTTTTCGCCATTAATAAACCTTATGGAAGGTGGCGTACGTTAACAGCTTCCTGTAAAAACCTGCAAATCATGAAGTACCTGTAACATACTTATTAAAAAAGAGAAACATCGGAAAATATCGATGTATCGATAGTTTTAGGGCGATTTTTTTTCGGCATCGATGTTGGCTCTGAAAATTTGCATCCCTAAATATGAGATGATAATGGGACCGCTCAAAAAGTAATTGTACAAATTATTTAAATAATCGGTACATATTGTGCTACTTGTGCCGATAGTGGGATCTTAGCTTGACACTGAGAAAGGAGTTTAGTTACGTCAGCGAAATATGTTTTCCTTAAATATGAGAGAAATATATTTAGCTTACTTTTTTCTGAGCGTACTACAAGTTCAAGGCCTTTACAAACAGTCAGAAAAAATCGCTTGATCCAGAAGTAAGAGACATGGTTTTACTTGAGAATTTTGAACATACACAAACTGAATCTGGTGCTGCTGAATACGAATTAAACTTACATCATGCAGTCTACCGTTTTCTCATTCTTTCCATCTTAAGTAACACAGTGCTACACAAAAAATTAGCACTTCATATAGAAATTGTGTTTTGTTATAGCCCATAGGATACGACTATGTTTATAGTTTTTCTCCATCACTTCGTTTACTACTTTTTTATTAACAAATATAATAAATATTTGGTATTCTTCAAGTTACAACTTCAAGAAGTTATAACTTTGTTGTTTTTGATGGAATTAAAACTTTGTTCTCTCTGTTTGAAAGACATGGGTTTTCCTTTCTATCAAAGAAAAAGTTTGAAAATCGGCTGTAGAAGGGCTTAGTATTGCTCTTTTAATTGAAGAAATACGTAAATTTTTCAAAAAGTGAGGCAATAAAAGAAATTGTTTGATTTCCTTTTTGGTTGTTGTTGTTTCCGACATTTTTCCGAATTGTTTGATCTTTATAATAAAAAAGTACAAAAAGTCAGTTTTCCAAAAGTCATAAGTGAATTAAAATCGAATAAGAAGTCGCTTAGTAAAGCTTTATGTAGTGATAATAAGTATGTCCGTGTTTTCATTTTGTTTGTTTGTTTTTGTTCATTTTATTTATTTATTTATTTAATAGAAATATAATTATCAATAATTATATTACAGTATAAAGGCACTAGCAACAAAGGCTATCGGCCTGTTTTGTTCATTTAATACCGTTTTCGATTACGTACGTATATTTGAGCCATTCTTTTTTAAGTCGGACGGATTTCGTAAAAAAAAATTATGTCATGTCTCCGATTCGCTTAAAATTTTTCTATTTTTTTATACCAGACCGCACTTGTGCACAAGGCTATTACAACTTTGTTCACATAACGGTTGTTTGTAACTGGCAAAACGAATCAAGATATATATAGACAAATGTATACATAAATGATCAGAATGAAAATAGATATCGCTTAAGCGGTCCGTCCGCCTGTGCACACGATAACTCGAGTGAACATTGAGATATCTTAACGAAACTTGCTACGTGCACTTCCTTCGGGCGTAGGACGAAAGGTATTGAAAATGGGCAAAATAGGACAATAACCACGCCTACCTCCCATATAACGGTAATTTTCAAAAATACGAAAACTGCGATATTTTAGTAACTACTTAAGATTATTCATTCAAAATTGATATTTACAAAAATTTTTAGATGAAAAATAAGAATATTATAAATTTTTGGAAAATGGGCCTTGCCACGCCCATTTATGGTTACATGTGTATATCTTGGTAACCGCTGCACCAATTTCTTCCAAACTTGCCACAGTTGTTAACCTTGGTATAACATACGAAATGGCCGAAAATTTTTAAAATCGGAAAATAACCACGCCCACATCCCATATAACGGTAATTTAGAGAAATACAAAATCTTCGAAACATGAGTAAATATTAAAGCTAATTTATTCAAAATTGATGCTTGCAACAATTCTTAACCAAGAAATATGTTTGTGATAAAATTTTGGAAAATGGGCGTGGCACCGCCCACTTATGATCACATATATGTATCTCGGTAACCGTTCTACCAATTTGTACCAAACTCGGTATGGTTATTGTGCTTGCAACATAGAAGCAAAGCGTTGAAAATGATTGAAATCGCAATGAAATTGAGGCCGCTTTTAATATAACGGTAAATTTCAGAACTGCTTGAAACTTCAAAATTTCGAAATTTAAGGACTCCAATTTACTCAAAATTGATACGCCCCAGCTTACCATGTAGCGGAAGGTTTCGGAAAGGTGAAAAACATATATTTAATACTTGCGCCGGGTATTTAATGTTCGGCTCCGCCGGAACTTAGACTTTCTTACTTGTTTTTTATTTAGTTTATTTCAAGGATTGGACGGAATTCGAAATTTTCATATTTCCAGTAATATTAATGCATCGATTTAGTTGAAACTTTTTTACTATTATTAAAAACTAGCAATTACCCGGCGTGCTTCGCTGCGCCTTAAATGTATTTTTGTGTTGTAACTCTCTCCCAAAACTCGTATGGCGTCATTTATAAAATATATTAAAAGAGCTTTATGTAGTAAGATTTTCAAAAAAAAACTTCGATCTATGAAGCATTGTTTATTTTTTTTTTTGAGTGTGGGAGTTAGTTAATACATATCGTCAGTAGACACGAATAAAGGCGCGCTAGTGTATGTTCTTATGGACAGCAATGTTTTCATGTATGTACATATGTTTGAATGGTTGTATATATATTTGTACGTATGTACATATGTTTGTGTACATGTATATATGCACATATGTTGTACAAACGAAAACAAATCTAATAAGCTACTCGTTGATATAAATGCGAACTGTTCTGATTGCCAAAAATTATGTGTTTGTTGTACATTTGTTCAAGTTTGTCATTGTGCGTGTAATTTTCAAGAGTACTTTTGTACTCTCGCTATCTCCTTGTATTAACTCGTCCTTCGTTGGTATACTCTGATGAACATATGTGAGGATGATAGAGGGGCCAACTTATATAAGGTAGTGTTACAGGAGCAGTTGAAATTTTCGCCCGATGTTTCTTAAAGAAAGCCATAAACTTAGCGACCGTTGATTCAACTTCGTGTTATTTTGCTCTAGATTGCACCCTTTGTGGGCCTGTTGAATGAATTTATGTTTTGGTTGTATGAAAGATCAAAAAATTTGGATTTTCTGGCAAGTTGTACAACTTATCGCTACATTAATGGCCGTGTTGTACAAACTCATTTAATTGGATAAATGGATAACTCAGCCGAAATAGGTACGTGCTTTCGTTGCATTTTATAAATGTAAGCCAAAACTATGAAATTGTAAAAATGAGATTTTGCAATGAGACTGCTCGCAAAATTGCAATGTTTGTGGACAAAACGTCCAACTTGATTGTCGATTGATCTGAATGATTGTCAAAAGCATGTGTTTGTTGTAATTCACTCTGTCAGTTACTACCATTATGCGTAGGCCAATTCCCGAAATCATTTCATGCGTTTGAGTAGAAACTGAATGAATGAACACCATTTCATGATTACAATTAATGCATAATAGAGTTTATGTATTTAGTTTTTACTCAGATCGATAAAATGATTTCGTGAATTGGACTACACATCCACGTGATACTATGCTTTTAATTTATAAGGTAATTTTATGTTTTTGTAATCTTGCTACCACATGAATATATAAATTCGCGATAAGAATATATGAATTCGCCTTGCAAGATAGAAAGCGGGTAAGAATAACTGCCGAACAAAGGACTTTTTCTTCTTTCAACTTAAATAAATGCGTTTTGCAAACCAATGTGCGTACGTTACTTAGTGCCTTGGTAATGGCGAATTCGTAAGGATCTATTGATTGCATTATAACGTTTTCATTTATTTGTTAAACATACAATTACTTCCATTTGTCAGCAATCTGGCAACCACGCAAATGAAACGAACAACGAACCGACTAGCATAGCCGAGGGAGTAGTCAATTGTCAGCGTTCGTCACATGCAGATGCTTTGTGAAGTTTAAATGAGTAATCTCTGTAACAACTACTTGAATAAATTTTATTTGTTAAACTATATTAAACTAAACTAAAGAGGCCTTCTGACAGCCTCAAAAGTGATATGTAATCCACCCCTCGTGAAATAGTGTGGAAGTGTCATTTTAATATAAATTCTAACAGTGCGTGTGTTAGTGCAGAAATTGAGACTACGCTGACCGTGTTCGGGGAAATCGGGGCTCCTCTCAGAAATTTATGATGTTTGAAATAATATACAAAGTGCCTGCGAGTGGATACAGGCTGGTTGTAAAACTATGGTTTCGGGATAATTAACTCAGTTAATAAAAGTTCAGGTTGTACCATTAAATGCTTTTAAGTTACTTATAATATGTTTTACAAATTCTGTGAATGATTTGATGAGGGAAGATTGCTTTGCTATCGCATTCAAGTCGAAGTCTGGGACTTCGTGTTGCTGGCATGATCTTCTGTGGTGATATCTGGCGCAATCATAACGAGGGCAGTCTTGGAGTAGGTGGCGCATTGTTTGCGGGGCTCGATTATCGCATGGACAGGTGTCTTCATTGATAATAGTAAATCGTTTCAAATAAGTTTTGTTGAACCCATGACCAGTAAAAAGCTGTGTCATTTCAAATGATATTCCGAATATTTCACGGTATAGTTTCGCATCGTCAATCGTTGGGAAGAAATGTTTAGTGCTAGAGCCAGTTGTTTCTTCGGTGTATTCACGCTGCCATTCTACGAGCATCTCTAACTGTATTAACCGCTTGGGATAGCATATCGGGTATGCGGCGTATGAGAATTCAGCTGTTGTACTTGCGGCTTCTTTTGCGTGCTGGTCGGCAAGCTCATTTCCTTCAATACCGACGTGTGATTTGTCCCAGTAGAATTTTACTTCATGGCTTTGACGAAGACCGTGTAAACGCCGGTGAATCGAGACAACGAGAGGCATAGAATTGCTACGATCTCGGATAGCTTCGCGACACGATCTACTGTCGCTATATAGATACAGATTACGCGTTTTAAGTCTGTTTTGGGCCCATTCCAATGCGGAGTCAATTGCAAGGGCCTCAGCCTGGTAAACAGAGCCGGCAGTGTGTAGGGTGAGCTTGAAAGGCTCTCAAACTGCATCTGAATGACGGATGACAAACGCCGCGCCGAATCCTTCATTTTGTAGTTTGCTTCCATCAGTATATATCTGTGTGGCGTCATTGATACTAATGGACTCTAATAGCTCTTGCGACTCTATGCATTCATATACAATTGTTTGCCTTTGTGCCGGATGCAATTGATCTCGAGGCGGAACACGGGGCTGAAGAGTCGCTTGGTCAGATATTTCATGATACGATAGCGTTGCTTTCACATTCTCTATCTGGGTGATTTCATTAATCTTCAAATGAAGTGGAATGAAGCCTGTAAGAGCCAGGGCTGATGTGGCCGATACTGTGTGGAACGATCGTATGGCTCGTATGGCAAAGTTTCGTTGGAACGATCGCAAAAGTCGACGAATATAAACGTATTTTATGGCTCTTCCCCATATACCCGCAGCGTACGTAATAGTGGGTTCCACCACTTGCCTGTAGATTGTTATAACGTTCTCAGGATGCACACCCCAAGTGGGCCTTACGTACTTGCACAGGTTGTCATAGATTCGTTGGACCTTTGCTAATACATATTTTACGTGATTGGTGAATTTTAGCCGCTCGTCGATAACAACGCCAAGAAATTTTATTTCTTTAACAAACGTAAGCTGTCTACCGTTTAGATTAATCTCAGCACACCGCGCATTCCAATAAATGCCATAACTTGTGTTTTCGTGTCAGAAAATGTTAGTTTTACCTCAACTCCCCAAGCATGTATAAGCTGCAGTGAATCGTTGGCATGCTGCTGGAGCTCCTCTACAGTTTTTGCGCTAACTATAAGAAGCACATCATCAGCAAAAGCTTAAATTTCACATCCTGCGGCAAGTGGCATAGTTAAAAGCTCATCTATAATAATGTTCCAGAAGGTAGGACCACATACCGATTCTTGGATGTAGCCCTTTGTCATCATCTTAGTGGCCGTTGCTTCCGCATAATCAATTGTAACTTCCCGGTTTTCTAAATAACTACCGATAAGCTTGTAAATATTAGACGGCGTATGAATTCGTTCTAATTTGTTCTGAAGTGCGGGCCACCAAGCGTTGTCGAATGCTGCTTTGATGTCAAGCGATATACAAATAACTTGACGGGATTTCCGTTTCTGTGTCTCGATATGATTAATGGCATGACGAAGGGCATCTACAGTGGATGTTTGTTCTTTAAAACCAAACTGCTTTGGAGACCAGTAATGGCGTTTTTCAGCGTGATATATGAGCCGTTTGATAAAGAGCTTTTCTAGCACCTTTTCAAAAACTGGTAGAAGCGCTATAGTCCGGTAGAATCCCAGTTCGTGAATGTTAGTCCTATTGGCTTTAGGCAAGATTTTTACAAATGCCTTTTTCCACGCTTTTGGAAAATACCCTATACGTAGAGATGCGCTGAAAAGATGAGTCAAAAAGTTAGTGTATTTACGCGCAAAAGCTAGGCATATATGTGACGTTAAATTGTCCAAACCAGGGGCTCTGTTAGCGTTCATTGTCGACAGTGCTTCGATAACTTCTTCCTCAGTAAAGTCTTCATCATCATGAGTTTCAATGATGGTTTAAACTCGGCTCCGTAGGTCACGTTGGCGAAAGGTGTTGTCGGGGGTGTCATCGGGGTAGAGAAGTTGCAGTAATGCCGGATCAACGTTTATGTTGGCAACCTCGTCCGATGTGTAGTGTGCGCGAAATAGTTGAACTCATGCCAGCCTTTAACCCGCTTTCCAATACATCATTGAATGCGACTCAATACGTGCAACGTGTGGAAATGTTGAGAAATGCATACGGTATCGACGACGGTATTTTACTTTGTGCAGTGCAGCAGAAATTACAAGGGCCTGCTAGACAGTGGGTCGATTCGTTGTCGATCGTATATACTACGTGGTCCGAGTTTTCAAATCGTGACTTCCCGTGTATACATAGTATCGCTGATGTGCATATAAAAATGTCTGCGATGAAAAGAGGTGTTAGCGAAACACCTCAAGAATTTTATTATCGTATGTTGGCTTACGATACGAAAAGAGGCATTTCCGAAAACGACATTACGATTCATATCATAAACGGAATCAATGATAGTGACATGAAAAAGAAAATATCGAACAACTACGCGAGGTGTTTGATTTGCTGAATGACATTAATAGCTATAACGTGTTCAACGAAGTGAAATTATCAACGCAATTTAAACCGAAATCGACACCGGTGACAAATGCTACTACCGTTCCGCGCAATACAAATATAAAGCCAACCGAAGTGTTATAACTGCTTGAAGATGGGTCACTACTCGATTAAGTGCCCAGAACCTCAAAAGAAACCTCGTTGTGCAAAGTGTCAGCGTACCAGTCACACAACTGAAAAGTGTCCGGAAAAGACAAATAATTCCGTTAGAGCTATTAGTCCGGATCTCGAGCCAGTAAAAACCTCTCACGCAGACGGTATCGTAAAACAAATCGCAGTAAATGGGTTGCTCACGAGTTCATTTATCGATCCGGGAAGTAGTCGTACTTTGATAAAACAAAGTTTCGCTAACAAAATTGGTTGCCCTACCCCATGCTCGGTAACGTTAAATGGGTTTGGGGGAGGAAAATTTACATGTGACGAAAAAGTAGACGCAATCATCGAAATAGACAAAGAGAAAATTGAAGCGGATGTTTTGGTAGTAACCGACAATTTGTTAAATGAAAATATTTTACTCGGAACGGATAGCTAGTGTAGAACCAGAAGTCGTCTCGTCATTGAAAACGGTTGTTGTCGCGTAGAGAACATTTTGAACATTCGTGAGTGCACCGTTCTTGATGAAAATGAAATTTTCAAACTCGAAAAACTCTTAAAGTCATATAGTGATGTGTTTGCTGAAAAAGCTGCGGATATCGGTCGCTGTAACGTTGCCAAAATTAAAATTCGAAAACGCCTGTTAATATGAAACCATATCGTATCCCATTTTCCAAAAGACCAATCGTGGCTGAAATCTTTAAAGATCTACTCGCGAACGAAATTATAATTGTTCTCGTGGATAAACAAAATGGTGAGCATCGTCTTTGCGTAGACTACAGATGTCTCAATAAAATCAGGAATCCGTAACCATTATTTTCCGAGCAAAAAATAAAACTCAAGAAATAACGATTATTTTCCGAGCAAAAAATAAAACTTAAAACGTAACGATTATTTTCCGAGCAAAAAATAAAACTTAAAACGTAACCATTATTTTCCGAGCAAAAAATAAAACTTAAAACGTAACCATTATTTTCCGAGCAAAAAATAAAACTTAAAACGTAACCATTATTTTCCGAGCAAACAATAAAACTCAAAACATAACGATTATTTTCTGAGTAAAAAACAAAACTCAAAGTATAATGATTAAACTTGATTTTTATAAGTAAAAATTAAAAAATAAAAATCAGTGCCGCTGAAGGTACTCCGAGTAATAAGAAATATATTGGTTTACTCCTTATGCACGTAGCATTCCTCTTTCCGCGTAATTTTTTGAGTTGAAATTTTAAAGGATAATCGTTATTTGCGGTCCCTGCTATAATCAACTTAAGTCATCGTTTTTATTACTTAAAAATGTGGTAAATTATAAGAAAATTGAACGAGTGCTTACCTATACAGTGTTTAAATCTAGTAGTCAAGGTTCAAAAGTGGCATATTATATTTCAAAAACAGTAATTTTGCTGCCTTTTCTCCTATGATGCGATTGCTTAGAGGATCGCTCGTTTTTCTTTAAGATAAGCCGTCAGTTGAGCTTTAGTTTCACATTTTTAATGACTCCAGATTCTAGACCCGAACCTTCGCATTCGCTGGAGGAATCTAAAACTAGTCCTAGGTTGCTTATAAGACTTTTATTTTAGCAGTCCTTGTTGAAGGCCCATCAATGTTGCTTGATATAG